CACACACACACAGATACACACAGACACACACACAGACACACACAGACACACACACAGATACAGACACACACACACACACACACAGACACACACACAGACACACACACAGACACACACACACAGACACACACACAGACACACACACACAGACACACAGACACACACACAGACACACACACACACAGATACACACAGACACACACACAGACACACACAGACACACACACAGATACAGACACACACACACAGACACACACACAGACACACACACAGACACACACACACAGACACACAGACACACACACAGACACACACACACACAGATACACACAGACACACACACAGACACACACACAGATACAGACACACACACACAGACACACACACAGACACACACACACAGACACACAGACACACACACACAGACACACACAGACACACACACAGACACACACACAGACACACACACAGATACAGACACACACACACAGACACACACACAGACACACACACACAGACACACAGACACACACACACAGACACACACAGACACACACACAGACACACACACAGACACACACACACAGACACACACAGACACACACACAGACACACACACAGACACACACACACAGACACACACACAGACACTCGCACACGCTCGCTCAACAGCGGTACACCCACAAACGCCACGCAGGCAGTCACGTGATTGAGACCTAATTACATTCACATTGCAATCACACACAGACACACACAGAGATACACACAGACACACAGAGATACACAGACACACAGAGATACACAGACACACACAGAGATACACAGACACACACAGAGATACACACAGACACACAGAGATACACAGACACACACAGATACACAGACACACACAGATACACAGACACACACAGACAGACACACACAGAGATACACACACACACAGATACACAGACACACAGAGATACACAGACACACACAGAGACATACACACAGACATACACACATATACACACAGACATACACATAGACGGATGTACACAGACACACACATAGACACACACACAGACACACACAGACACACACACATACACACACATACACACACACATACACACACACATACACACACAGACACACACATACACACACATACACACACACATACACACACATACACACACACATACACACACACAGACAGAGACACATAGACAGAGACACACACAGATACAGATACACACAGACATGCACACACATAGATAGAGACACAGACATACACACACGGACACACAGACATCGATCCATACATACAGACAACAAAGACCAGATCCCCCGTGTAGCCTCTACAGATTGTAGGGGCAAGTGCTGTTAGCAAGCACCTATGAAGGCCAGAACGGTACACGAGGGGGTGAGTGGCCAGCACCACGCCCGACCGCCTTTGTCTCCCTAGTGGCAATGTTTACACACCGCACCAGGTACCCATTTGAGGCTGAGTCGACCTAGGGGAGGCCCGGGACCGGTTCAGATAATCGTCACTGGTGTTGGCCGTGAGCTGGAATCGAACCCGGGTCGCCAGGTTCATAGCGCAGCGTAGCGCTAACCACTACACAATCGCTCCCCCACATACACACAGATACATACATACACACATACGTACACACAGACACACAGATACATACAGACATACATACACACAGATACATACATACATGCACGCATACATACACACAGACACATACATACACACGAATACATACACACATACACACAGATACACTACACACAGATACATACACACAGATACATACATACACACATACACTACGCACAGATACACACAGATACATACACACAGACACAGATACACACAGAGATACATACACACAGATACATACACACAGACACACACACAGATACATACACACAGACACACACACAGATACATACACACAGACACAGATACACACAGCTACATACACACAGATACATACATACACACACAGATACACACACACACAGATACATACAGACACAGATACACACAGATACACACACACAGATACATACACACAGACACATACACACACAGATACATACACACAGACACAGATACACACACACAGATACATACACACAGACACAGATACACACACAGATACATACACACAGACACATACACACAAACACACACACAGATACACACACACAGACACAGATACACACACAGATACATACACACAGACACAGATACATACACACAGACACATACACACAAACACACACACAGATACACACACACAGATACACACAGATACATACACACAGATACATACACACAGACACAGATACACACACAGATACATACACATAGATACATACACACAGACACACACAAACACACACAGATACACACACAGATACACACAGATACATACACACAGACACAGATACACACAGCCACGTACACAAAGGTCCCCCGTATAGCCGTTAATAGGCAGTTGGGGCAAGTGCTTGGGTGGCCAGCGACTACTCCCGGCCGCCTTTGTATCTCAAGGTACTCGTTTAAGGCCGAGTAAACCTAGGTGTGTGTATGTGTACCTGTGTGTACGTGTGTGTAGCTGTGTGTGTGTGTGGGGAGCGGTGGTGCAGCGGTTAGCGCTACGCTGCGCTACGAACCCGGCGACCCGAGTTCGATTCCCGCTCACAGCCAACACCGGCGGCGACGATTATCTGAACCGGGGTCCTGTGCCTCCCCTAGGTCGACTCAGCCTCAAATGAGTTACCTGGTGTAGCGGTGGTGTAGTAAACATCGCCACTGGGGGAGACAAAGGCGGCCGGGCGTGGTGCTGCTGGCCACCCACCCCCTCGTGTGCCACAGCACTTGCCCCAGCAGTCTGATAGAGGCTACACGGGGGACCTTTGTCTTTGCATCGGGGGGGTGACGGTGATCTTAGCAAGTGCTGTTAGTAGCGAGTAGCAGCAGCAGCTATGAAGGTAGACACAGACAAAGGTCCTCCGTGTAGCCTCTATAGGTTGTAGGGGCAAGTGCTGTTGGTAGCGAGTAGCAGCAGCAGCTATGAAGGTAGACACAGACAAAGGTCCCCCGTGTAGCCTCTACAGACTGCTGGGGCAAGTGCTGTTAGTAGCGAGTAGCAGCAGCTATGAAGGTGGACACAGACAAAGGTCCCCCGTGTAGCCTCAACAGACTTCTGGGGCAAGTGCTGTTATTAGCGAGTAGCAGCACCACGCCCGGCCGCCTTTGTCTCCCCCAGTGGCGATGTTTACTACACCACAGCTACACCAGGTACCCATTAGAGGCTGAGTCGACCTAGGGGAGTCCCAGGACCGGTTCAGATAATCGTCACCGTATTCGCACAGTCCAATACGTGACACGCAGGAGGCTTTTGCCAGGCTATGTACACACTGACACACACACCTACACTTACACACCCACACTTACACACACTCACACACACTGACACACACACCTACACTTACACACCCACACTTACACACACTGACACACACACCTACACTTACACACACTGACACACTCACACACTTACACACTGACACACACCTACACTTACACACCCACACTTACACACACTGACACTCACACACTTACACACTTACACACACTCACACACCTACACTTACACACCCACACTTACACACACCTACACTTACACACCCACACTTACACACACTGACACACACACCTACACTTACACACCTACACTTACACACACCCACACTTACACACACACACACACACTGACACACACACCTACACACTTACATACCCACACTTACACACACTGACACACTCACACACACTCACACACCTACACTTACACACACCCACACTTACACACACTCACACATACACCTACACACTTACACACCCACACTTACACACACTGACACTCACACACACTCACACGCCTACACTTACACATACCCACACTTACACACACTGACACTCACACACACCTACACTTACACACACTAACACACACCTACACTTACACACACACCCACACTCACACACACCCACACTCACACACACTCACACACACACACACCCACACACACTCACACACACCCACACACACTGACACACACACCTACACACTTACACACCCACACTTACACACACTGACACCCACACACTCAGACACTTACACACTCACACACTTACACACACTCACACACACCTACACTTACACACACTAACACACACACACCTACACTTACACACACACCCACACTCACACACTCCCACACACACTGACACACACACCTACACACCTACACTCAACACTTACACACTCACACACACACCTACACTCAAACACCTACACTCACACAGACACCCACACTTACACACACCTACACACACTCACACACACCCACACACACTGATACACACACTTACACACCCACACACACACCTACACACTCACACACACCCACACACACTGACACACACACACACCTACACACCTACACTTACACTCACTCACACACTTACACACACTCACACACTTACACACACTCACACACACTGACACACACACACACTCACACCCCCCCCCCCCACACACGCACGTGGCGGTGGGGAGTGTGTGTCCCATGCTAGGCTAGGTGCACACACACACACACACCCCCCACACACACACGTGATGGTGAGGAGTGTGTGTGTGTGCCCCGTGCCAGGCTAGGTGCACACACACTCACACACACACACTCACACCCCCACACACACACCCCCCCCACACACACACGTGGCGGTGGGGAGTGTGTGTCCCATGCTAGGCTAGGTGCACACACACACACACCCACCCCCACACACACACACGTGATGGTGGGGAGTGTGTGCCCCGTGCCAGGCTAGGTGCACACACACACTCACACACACACACCCACACGCACGTGATGGTGAGGAGTGTGTGTGTGCCCCGTGCCAGGCTAGGTGCACACACACACACACTCACCGATCCACGGTACGCCTCCAGATCCACGCGCCTGCCACGGATGTCCGTGGCGGCGTGCGAATAGAAATCTCGTGTGGTCGAGGTGGGGGGCACGAGGAGGAGGAGGAGGCTCGTTGAGCCCCCCACGATGAGCAGCACCAGCACCAGCGTAGCCCCCCGAACTCTGCTGCCCATAGCGGGGTGCGGAGCGGGGGCTACCCCCCGCTCGCCTGCCCCCCCGGTGAGCGAGGGGGCTACCCCCCGCTCGCCTGACCCCCCGGTGAGCGGGATCACCGTGAGGACCCCCGATTCACCCCCAGATGCGCTCATCACCTGTACCCTCTCGCTGTCTCTCTCCTGTGCGTCCCTCTGTGTGTGTTTCTGTGCGTGTCTCTGTGTGTCTCTGTGTCTCTGTGTGTCTGTGTGTCTTTGTGTGTCCCTGTGTGTCTCTGTGTGTCTCTGTGTCTGTGTGTGTCCCTGTGTGTCTCTGTGTGTCTCTGTGTCTGTGTGTGTCCCTGTGTGTCTCTGTGTGTCTCTGTGTATCTGTGTCTCTGTGTGTCCCTGTGTGTCTCTGTGTGCCTCTGTGTCTCTGTGTGTCTCTCTGTGTCTCTGTGTCTTTGTGTGTCCCTGTGTGTCGCTGTCTCTCTCACTGTCTCTGTGTCTCTCCCTGTCTCTCACTGTCTCCGTGTCTCTCCGTGTCTCTCACTGTCTCCGTGTCTCTCACTGTCTCCGTGTCTCTCCGTGTCTCTCACTGTCTCCGTGTCTCTCACTGTCTCCGTGTCTCTCACTGTCTCCGTGTCTCTCCGTGTCTCTCACTGTCTCCGTGTCTCTCACTGTCTCCGTGTCTCTCCCTGTCTCCGTGTCTCTCACTGTCTCCGTGTCTCTCACTGTCTCCGTGTCTCTCACTGTCTCCGTGTCTCTCACTGTCTCCGTGTCTCTCACTGTCTCCGTGTCTCTCCGTGTCTCTCACTGTCTCCGTGTCTCTCACTGTCTCCGTGTCTCTCACTGTCTCCGTGTCTCTCCGTGTCTCTCCCTGTCTCCGTGTCTCTCACTGTCTCCGTGTCTCTCACTGTCTCCGCGGGTCTCCGCTGAGCGTTGCAAGACGACTCTCTCCCTCTGCCTTCAAGGGGAGACAGACGTCTCTCTCCCCTCCCCCACTCGCTCCAACTCTTCCCCAGACTTTCCCACTCTCCCCCACTCTCTACAACTCTCTATAACTCTCTACAACTTTCCCCCCATCTCTACAACTCTCTACAACTCTCCCCAACTCTCTACAACTCTCCACCACTCTCTACAACTCTCTATAACTCTCTACAACTCTCCACCACTCTCTACAACTCTCTACAACTCTCCCCAACTCTCTACAACTCTTCCCCCACTCTCTACAACTCTCCTCCCACTCCCCCCCCACTCTCTACAACTCTCTACAACTCTCCCCCAACTCTCTACAACTCTCTACAACTCTCTATAACTCTCTATAACTCTCTCCAACTCTCTATAACTCTCTACAACTCTCTCCAACTCTCTATAATTCTCCCCCCACTCTCTACAACTCTCTCCAACTCTCCCCCACTCTCTACAGCTCTCTATAACTCTCTACAACTCTCCCCCCATCTCTACAACTCTCTACAACTCTCCCCCAACTCTCTATAACTCTCTCCAACTCTCTCCAACTCTCTATAACTCTCTACAACTCTCTACAACTCTCTCCAACTCTCTACAACTCTCTCCAACTCTCTACAACTCTCTACAACTCTCTATAACTCTCTACAACTCTCTCCAACTCTCTACAACTCTCCACCACTCTCTATAACTCTCTACAACTCTCCCCCACTCTCTACAGCTCTCTACAACTCTCTATAACTCTCTACAACTCTCCCCCCATCTCTACAACTCTCTACAACTCTCTCCAACTCTCTACAACTCTCTCCAACTCTCTACAACTCTCTACAACTCTCTCCAACTCTCTACAACTCTCTCCAACTCTCTACAACTCTCTCCAACTCTCTACAACTCTCTCCAACTCTCTACAACTCTCTATAACTCTCTCCAACTCTCTCCAACTCTCTACAACTCTCTATAACTCTCTCCAACTCTCTCCAACTCTCTACAACTCTCTCCAACTCTCTACAACTCTCTCCAACTCTCTACAACTCTCTACAACTCTCTATAACTCTCTCCAACTCTCTACAACTCTCTCCAACTCTCTACAACTCTCTCCAACTCTCTACAACTCTCTATAATTCTCCCCCCACTCTCTTTCCCTTACCCTCCCCCCACATTCCTGCGCGCTTCCATCTGCATGTGGGGAGCGGTGGTGCAGTGGTTAGCGCACTGTGTGTGTGTGAGTGGGGAGTGGTGGTGCAGTGGTTAGCGCACTGTGTGTGAGTGGGGAGTGGTGGTGCAGTGGTTAGCGCATTGTGTGTGTGTGGGGAGTGGTGGTGCAGTGGTTAGCGCACTGTGGGTGTAGTGTGTGGGGAGTGGTGGTGCAGTGGTTAGCGCACTGTGTGAGTGGGGAGTGGTGGCGCAGTGGCTAAAGCACTGTGTGTGTGTGAGTGGGGAGTGGTGGTGCAGTGGTTAGCACTGTGTGTGTGTGAGTGGGGAGTGGTGGTGCAGTGGTTAGCGCACTGTGTGTGAGTGTGTGGGGAGTGGTGGTGCAGCGGTTAGCGCACTGTGTGTGAGTGGGGAGTGGTGGTGCAGTGGTTAGCGCACTGTGTGAGTGGGGAGTGGTGGTGCAGTGGTTAGCGCACTGTGTGTAGTGTGTGGGGAGTGGTGGTGCAGTGGTTAGCGCACTGTGTGAGTGTGGGGAGTGGTGGTGCAGTGGCTAGTGCACTGTGTGTGTGGGGAGTGGTGGTGCAGTGGTTAGCGCATTGTGGTGTAGTGTGTGGGGAGTGGTGGTGCAGTGGTTAGCGCACTGTGTGTGTGTGAGTGGGGAGTGGTGGTGCAGTGGTTAGCGCACTGTGTGTGTGAGTGGGGAGTGGTGGTGCAGTGGTTAGCGCATTGTGGTGTAGTGTGTGGGGAGTGGTGGTGCAGTGGTTAGCGCACTGTGTGTGTGTGAGTGGGGAGTGGTGGTGCAGTGGTTAGCGCACTGTGTGTGAGTGGGGAGTTGTGGTGCAGTGGTTGGCGCACTGTGTGTGTGAGTGGGGAGTGGTGGAGCAGTGGTTAGCGCACTGTGTGAGTGGGGAGTGGTGGTGCAGTGGTTAGCGCACTGTGTGTCTGAGTAGGGAGTGGTGGTGCAGTGGCTAGCGCACTGTGTGTGTGAGCAGGGAGTGGTGGTGCAGTGGTTAGCGCACTGTGTGTGTGAGTAGGGAGTGGTGGTGCAGTGGTTAGCGCACTGTGTGTGTGAGCAGGGATTGGTGGTGCAGTGGTTAGCGCACTGTGTGTGTGAGTAGGGAGCGGTGGTGCAGTGGTTAGCGCCCTGTGTGTGTGGGGAGTGGTGGTGCAGTGGTTAGCGCACTGTGTGTGTGAGTGGGGAGTGGTGGTGCAGTGGTTAGCGCACTGTGTGTGTGAGTAGGGAGCGGTGGTGCAGTGGTTAGCGCCCTGTGTGTGTGGGGAGTGGTGGTGCAGTGGTTAGCGCCCTGTGTGTGTGGGGAGTGGTGGTGCAGTGGTTAGCGCACTGTGTGTGTGAGTGGGGAGTGGTGGTGCAGTGGTTAGCGCTGCGCTGCGCTATGAACCTGTCGACCCGAGTTCGATTCCCGCTCACGGCCAACACCGGTGACGATTATCTGAACCGGTCCTGGGCCTCCCCTAGGTCTTCTCAGCCTCAAATGAGTAGCTGGTGTAGCGGTGGTGGTGTAGTAAACATCGCCACTGGGGAGACAAAGGCGGCCGGGCGTGGTGCTGGCCACCCGCCCCCTCATGTGCCACAGCGCCGGTAGCCTTCATAGGTGCTGCTACTCGCTACTAACAGCACTTGCCCCTACAGCCTGTTAGAGGCTACACGGCGGACCTTTGTCTGTGTCTACCTTCATAGCTGCTGCTACTCGCTACTCACAGCACTTGCCCCTACAGCCTGTTAGAGGCTACACGGGGGACCTATGTCTGTGTCTACCTTCATAGCTGCTGCTGGTACTCGCTACTAACAGCACTTGCCCCAGCAGTCTGTAGAGGCTATACGGGGGACCTTTGTCTGTGTCTACCTTCATAGGTGCTGCTACTCGCTCCTGACAGCACTTGCCCCAGCAGTCTGTAGAGGCTACACGGGGGACCTTTGTCTGTGTCTACCTTCATAGCTGCTGCTATTCGCTACTCACAGCACTTGCCCCTACAGTCTGTAGAGGCTACACGGGGGACCTTTGTCTGTGTCTACCTTCATAGCTGCTGCTACTCGCTACTCACAGCACTTGCCCCTACAGCCTGTTAGAGGCTACACGGGGGACCTTTGTCTGTGTCTACCTTCATAGCTGCTGCTACTCGCTCCTGACAGCACTTGCCCCAGCAGTCTGTAGAGGCTACACGGGGGACCTTTGTCTGTGTCTACCTTCATAGGTGCTGCTACTCGCTACTAACAGCACTTGCCCCAGCAGTCTGTAGAGGCTACACGGGGACCTTTGTCTGTGTCTACCTTCATAGGTGCTGCTACTCGCTACTAACAGCACTTGCCCCAGTAGTCTGTTGAGGCTACACGGGGGACCTTTGTCTGTGTCTACCTTCATAGCTGCTGCTACTCGCTACTAACAGCACTTGCCCCAGCAGCCTGTAGAGGCTACACGGGGGACATTTGTTTTTGTGAGTGATCAGGTAAGTGGATGGGTGAGTGTGGTGAGAGTGGTGAGCGTGGTGAGTTTGGTGAGTGTGGAGAGTGAGTGTGGTGAGTGAGTGTGGTGAGTGAGTGTGGTGAGTGCAGTGAGTGAGTTTGGTGAGTGTGGTGAGTGAGTGTGGTGAGTGAGTGTGGTGAGTGTGGTGAGTGAGTGTGGTGAGTGTGGTGAGTCAGTGTGGTGAGGGTGGTGAGTGTGATGAACGTGGTGAGTGAGTGTGGTGAGTGTGGTGAGCGTGGTGAGTGTGGTGAGTGAGTGTGGTGAGTGAGTGTGGTGAGCGTGGTGAGTGTGTTGAGTGTGGTGAGTGTGGTGAGTGAGTGTGGTGAGTGAGTGTGGTGAATGAGTGTGGTGAGTGAGTGTGGTGAGTCAGTGTGGTGAGGGTGGTGAGTGTGATGAACGTGGTGAGTGAGTGTGGTGAGTGTGGTGAGCGTGGTGAGTGTGGTGAGTGAGTGTGGTGAGTGAGTGTGGTGGGTGTGGTGAGTGAGTGTGGTGAGAGTGGTGAATGATTGTGGTGAGTGTGGTGAGCGTGGTGAGTGAGTGTGGTGAGTGAGTGTGGTGAGTGTGGTGTGTGTGGTGAGTGAGTGTGGTGAGTGTGGTGAGCGAGTGTGGTGAGTGAGTGTGGTGAGTTTGATGAGTGTGGTGAGTGTGGTGAGTGAGTGTGGTGAGTGTGGTGAGTGTGTGTGGTGAGTTTGGTGAGCGT